AGGTTATTTTAATTTAGGTTTTTCAGACTTTCGCTGAGTCTTTTGATGAAAACACCGCTTCCTTCCGCATCCCTTCTGATTCATCGTTTGTAAGGATATTGTAATATGTTATTCGATGCCCTACGCAGTTTACATTAACTGCATGAAGTTCAGTCCTTGAGAACATAACATTCGCTAAGCTAGTCAAAAAAGTTGCTGTCTTTTATAGAACCCCAGATCATTATCATGCTCACAACATGCCCAGTCAAGAGCAAACTATTTGATAATCCGTATATTATATGGTGACGAGAAACGAACAAATAGGTCTAGTATGTTAATTGGAGTATAAATAGACTCGTCTATGAGAACAAATAGGAGTTGGACTTATATAACTCGATTTTGAAACTTGACCAACGTAGTATTGTAACCGGAAGAGTGAGGAGGGAGGGTATGTGAAAACACCCCTCATGGTCTGACTGATGACACTACGAAAAGAGTCAGGACGTTTGTCCGTCACGCATATCAGGCTGCGTTAGACTTTTCTAAACACAGGTGTCGCTAGTAGGCGGCTGACTGAAATTTGTTTATGATGCTTGCTTTAGGTTTTATTTTTAATATTATTTATATTCGGATCTGGGTCAATACGTACATATTACACTTATAAATCATTAAAAATCTATGCATTAGTGCATTCATGTCTGTTATACGCAATTGAATATGATTTTAATCCCATATAATGCAACATGTTACTTATTTATTATATCTGTCTTCTGAAATAAATGTATATGTCTCCGTTTGGTTGTAAATATTCTATGATTTTATTAATCGCGGTTGAATGAATTATGACATACGATAATTTCTTTGTCTTGTTGCCACATGTTCTGAATTTATTCTGCCAAAGGCTAATGATTCTCTATTTTGCCGGCATGCTCCTTTGCGTATTAAGTATATTTGATGTTGAAGTGTCAATTAGTATATAATTTCCATTCCGTTGTCCACACGTGTAATATCCTTTCTGCACTGTGTGATGGTTTTGTCGGTTTACCCAAGCATAATATGATAATGCTGTTTAATTCTGTTTCTGTGACATATTGGTACCACGGCTTATCTGATTCTTTAAGACGAATGTTGACCGATTTGTTTCGTTACATTATCATGCATCGTATTAGTTGGGATCTTTGTGGTAGAACACTGCTTCAACTCGTAATATGTGATGTTGCTTCATGTAGACTATTCTTTTTTCATTCTTCGTCAGAATTAAATGTTTAATCTGTTACTGTTTATTTAAGATAGTTTTCGGTGCTTACAACTCGGTCTTGATTGGATGTTATTATTATTGTTATTACATTTATTTACCATTTTGCAGGGTATTTGCTTCTGTGTACAAGAGTCAAACTTTATTTTTGAAGTAGATAGTGCAGCAGTTATTTCTGAAAAACATTTTGTTTTTTAATATATGTTACATGCATTATAGAGATTTCGTATTCGGAATTATTACATATTTTACATGAGCGTCTTTCGAATGATGTATGATCCTATAATGGCGGTTTTCTGAAGTTCCCTGATGTCGTGTTCGAAAGGGATGTTGGCCAAATATTTTTTGAGTGACTTGGAGACAGTTTCAGTTGCTCCTACAATTATTGGAATTACTTTTGCTATTCTTCTTCTTCTTCTTCTTCTTCTTATTATTATTATTATTATTACAATTTAAGTCGATCATAACTCTTGCGTAACTTATTAAATATCGAATCAAAGAATTTCGCGAACATTCTTTTCAGAGAAAAATAAAATACTTTTCCTTAAGTCTTATGGTGTTTTGGATAATTGTAAGTTATGTATATCCCTTGTTATTGTTTAACTCCAGATAATTTGGACTGATATTCTTCAAATTTCGACCTTTCTAGTCCGTCTCACGTGTTTCAAAACTCTGTTATAAGAAAGCATAAAATGTTGGCATTTCCGATTTAAAAATCTGTATGCAATAACAAAACAAAAAAAACACTTTCTAGCTTGCATACATTTGTTCTGTGTTCGCTATCCCGCGATTTACAAACTTTTGAGTTACCAGTTTTCGCTACCATGCAAATTTATATCTATTTTCGGTTTATAAACATAATTTTTCCTATAACGAAGAACCAGTTGACTTCCTATTATTGATTCTATATGATTATTATGCTAATAGTAATTAAGGTTTTAAAAAATACAATTGTTGATTCTTTGTTTACATAATTATGATGTAATTATGTACTGTCTCTGCAGTAACCGATGTTAAAAGTAAACACTTCAGCAGTACTTTACAAAGTTAAATAAGTAATAAGTATAATGGAAAGTGATATTGCTCTTATTTATATGATTACATAGTATTGTAGCATACGTTAGAGAAATTTCGGGTGTTGTTCTGGGAGTATGGAACCACTCAGATTTTTTGCATTAAAATTAATGGGAATTTCTTTTTTTATATAATAATTTGATTCATTTATTTAAGTGCTTGACAACAGCCAGATAAGGCCAATAACAGGCAAGCACTGGAAAACAGTACAGGAATAAATATAATATAATAATTATTTTATTTCAATAATAATAAAAGTAAAAATATTACAAACACAAAAAAAAACAAATTAAACTAAATATTTAAATGTTCCATATTAAGTTATAACAACCAATTACAGGTAAACAGAAATTAAAGAAAACAAATTATGATACAAAGAAGAAAAACAAATGAAAAAGCCACAGTAGAAGTGAAATGTCTAAATAATATGAATAAGCGAAATACACTCCTTGTTGAAGATGTCGATGCGCTGACAGACTGCATTGGCAGCAGAAACACCTAGACGAGGGAATGGTCTTGAAACTACGATGAACAGAAAACGTGCAGTAGTCTCTAATGGATCTGGAGAGAACACGCAAGCAAACTGAATCCAAAACGGATAGGTAGCAAATTTTGCCCTTAAAAGTATTAATGAGAAAGAAAGCATCAAGATGGCTCTTCTTCAGGTGGAGAGAAAGGAGGTTTAACCCAACTAATACGTCTTCATAATTATAGTCACTTAGGCCATTAAAAAATCTGGCGTAACATAAAGCTGCAAATTTCCTTTGAATTCTTTCAAGTTTGGTGGAATCAGTGGAAGTAATGCGATTCCAGGCAACAGATCCATATTCAAATTTAGACCGAACATTAATTCAATTCGGTTCAATTAATTTATTTAAGTGCTTGACAACAGCTAAATAAGGCCAATAACAGCCAAGCACTGAACAACAGTACAGAATAAAATATAATATAATAAGAGTAAAATATTACAATTATAAAAACAAACAAATGAAACTAAATATATAAATGTACCATATTAATAATAATAGCAATTCAATTCATAATAATTCACAAGTAAAAAAAGTAAAGTTTGTCCCACTATACGCCATGTAATGAGCCAAATAATATGCCTAAGTAATATAATAATTAAATTAAATCAGTTTAATTATAAAACAATACATAAATAACATACAAAATATAATATTAATACTATCTTATATATTAATACTATCTTATATATTAATACTAAATAAAAACAGTGAACAATAAAAACCAGAAAAACTTACAAAATAAAAAACCTAAAATATGGACAAAAGAGAAATATTTAAATACAATAATTTCCTCAGTTCAACTGTTCATTACAAGTAAATGGGCTAGATAAAATTCATAAGGAAAATATAATGTTCACCTTAATAATAGTTTTCATCGAACGAATTACTTTTGTTAATCGAGAGATCGGTGTAAATGTGAAAGTATGTACGTACATGCCCTTCTACTTATATGCATGTTCTTAATGTGTCACGAGGTACCTGGATGAGAATGATAAGGCAGAGTCCACAATAGGGAGTTGTTACAGCTACTAAGGATTGGTTATACCTGAGAAGGCAAAGAAATGAGTAGTCTGACTCCACACAATCGTTTGGTGCGACAGTTTCCCTTAATGACAATAAACCCATCAATCACTAGGTCCTATACGTATCTCTGTACCGGGAAGGAAGCATTATGAGGCTTGCGGAAGAGATAAGCGAACATAGGAAAGGTGTTTCCGATAACCATAATAGCATAATGCGTTTTCTTTACTCAGAATTCGATAGACAATGGCCGATTCACTTGGAAACTCGTTATGGTTCGACCGGTCTGTTCGCTCCCAAAGCGTCTTACGTGGCGACATTGTTGCTGATAAGAAGCACGTTTCATATTAAACTTAAATACTGCTCAGACTTAGATTTACATTTGTCTAAAACGTTATTGAGCATTTATAATGCATGTAAAAAACTTTGAGAGTTTTGCTACACAATAAAACAAGATTTGTACTAGGTGTAGTGATTTTTTTAAAATCCTGACAATCTTTTTGAATAGCCCTGTATTTTAGACCTATAAAACCAAAAAGGAAACAGACTTTTTAGGGACCTTGCTTGAAAGTTGCGCTATTCAGGGTCTATTGTGTTATTTACCGCTGACCGACCCACATCCCTATTTGACTCGTGTCTGTCCTGAAATTGGAAAACCTCGTGCAAGATTTAAGGTATCGTAACTCATAAGACACATAAAAATGCAAATAATTTTAGATGTTGTAGTGTCAAGTACGAAGATTTGTGTGTCGGAAAGATCAATAAATCTGAGTATGAGCTTCTTGTAAATTAGGGGACATACTGGATCCATATGAACGAAAATTAAACACTTATAAAGACTTTTGGTGTAAACTCCGAACATTAAATAATTATTATCTAAATCTATTAATATTATCGTATATAAAGGAAAGAGATAAATGAAAGAAAATGACCATTTATACAGCTACAATTGTTCTGTTTTATGTAGCATACAAAAACATGATAGAAATATTTGTAGGAAGACACAGGCCCCACAGTGTGGTAATTTGTTAGCCCTGAACTCTGTGAAGTGTTCAAGCGCTCGTCGTGTTTCGGGCGCTGAACGTGTTTGTGCTTTCCCTCTCATACTTCGGCGAAGTGTTCAAGCATCTGTCATGTTTCAGGCGCTGAATGGGTTCCTGCTTATACTCACATGCGAAGGCGAAGTGTTCTTCGCCACCCATAGCATCGAGAGCTACCTCGGCTTCCATCAGGTGAGCCATTGAAGCACAACATACGAGTAAGTTTATAAACGACATTTTGTTTCACTTTGTTTAAGTAGATTTATGTTGTATGATCATGAAATGTGAGTTTCGACAAATATTAGGCAATATAATCATCCAACATATGTAACCATTGTGCCAGCAGGTAAAAAGAATTTGTAGTTTAAGGTTCGTTTCACAGCGAAACAAGCAAAACCCAAAACGATAATTTCCCACGTGGGAATTCCACGGCTGTCGATTTCCTATCCAGTTACTTCTACGCGTAAAAACGCCTGTAGGTCTTCATGCAATGTGCCCGTCATTTTTGTCCGATTTTAACAAAAATTGTTATGTTTATTGAAATTTTAATGCAATTCATCGGTATAAAATTCGATGAATGTCCGTCGAGCCTTTGAAGTTGTTACATGAAAACAGACGGACGGACAAACAAGCATGGTGAACCACAAAGGTGCTCTTCGGCAAGTCTGAGCAGTGAAAGCATCCGGACACTTGTGATGTGAACCGTACACAAATATTCACGACTCGTCAAAGGGAGGAATGCCAACAGTCAATGAATATAAAACACTGAAACAGAACAGTGCTTCTGTCCTACTAATGTTAGGGACTGCTGCACCTAACTTTAGTGTAGCAGACACCTCCTTGAACAGCTGCCATTTTGATTTAAAAAGCGGTGGGAAGATAACATTAAGACAAATCTGGTGCACAGAGTGTAATAATTAGATGTGGGTGAAATTAGCTAAAAATAGAGACAAATTTAGAAACATGTTGCTAGAGAGTATTAATTTAAACTTCGGTATTTAATTTCAGAGATATGTTAAGCCAGTATGTTTGTTAGTAACTTGATTAGTTAGTAACGAATTTCGTTATTCATTTGGTTATTTTTTTTGATGGATTAGTTTTCTACTTAATTTCCTAACGATAAGTTTGGTTAGTTAATGAGTTGATAATTCAGTATGCCAGCTGACAGCTTTACCCATATCACCGTTAGCGATGATAACTGGTGGTATGGTGAATTTACAAGCGTCTGTGTAGAGGGAGGGTAATTTCTGACTGTTTATTTCTTTCGTAATTTTACAATTCTGTGTTATTTTCTTCTTTTAAGGGACATTTAATGATATTTCCTACGACGGTTGTGCATTATGAATTGGAAGGGATTTGAGAGAAAGTATTCCTGGACTATTTTAAGATAAATTTTGAAATTCAGGTTTGAAATAAAGGTATACTTGAGTCATACACGTGTCCTGTTAGCTCGTTACTGTATGCAGAACTTCAAAACGTGTGTTTTTAAGAAGTAGCTAAATGCCCGGCCTAGCACAAACTCTTTTCTAATGTTACAAATGTTGTGTAAGAACGTCTGTATATTTAGACGTAAACGCATTTGAAATGAGTTTTTCCGTTTCTCTACAGGTCATTAAAATTGAATGGGCTCTAGTAGTTGTCAATAGCTTAGAGTCTCATGCGACTTTCTTACGTGATCCGGAGACATAAAGGGCCCACCTTAACTCGGTAAGGCACATGTTACAATCGGGAACTCCTGATGGAACAGACAAAGAGATGTCGGCTTGAATTCTCATTGTCGTCTGACATTCTTAATGGTCAGGCACGGGAGTTACAGTCTTCAACAGTGGTATTCAACCTTTTTAGTTCGAGTACCCCCTGATATAATTTCTCTTCAACTTTATACCCCCAAAGTTGTTGGTGTATAATTCAAGTTATACATAGTATATAATCTACATCTAAAATAAATTAAATAAATTACATTACTGATTATTCAGTGTTTATCATAATATAATATATATATTTAAATTTCACGTAACCCTAAGATGTCTTCGCGTACCCCAGGTTGAATACCACTGGTCTTCAACAATATAAAAAGAGATCGAACACTGTGACTGAGTTGTTAGCACTCTTCCTTCTTACTGGGGGTTCCAAGTTGAAACCTCACTCCGGACACCAACTATCCCCTTACTGAAGTTGTTCGTGATTTTGCTCAGTTCCTCCATGTAAATACCGGAATAGTAACATTTATAATGAAATTAGGAGCAGGCTAAGACTAGAAAATTCCTGTTATCGTATTACTTAAAATATTTTATCTCCCTGTCTCTTTTTTAACAAGTTTGGAAAGGTGTATATCCATTCTTTGGTGAGGCAGATATACCAAAGATGTTATTCACATCATGCCACATCATGAATGTGATCCGAGGTTAGCGTATTTTGCCGTTCTTATGTTAATGTGGTCATAACCTTTGTTCAAAACAGATTGTTCAACAATTGAACCAAATATTTAGCATTGTTGGAATACAGCGGTGCGAATAAATGACCTGGAATCACAGTTTAAGAATGATCAAAGTCCCAAAACTGACCTGGGGTTGCATTAGTGTAAGAATGATTTAAAATGCATTATTGACTCGGATCACTTTAGTGCAGTAACGGCTTACGTGTTGTGGCGTGAATATCTGCGCGTTCCAAGGAGTGCACCTTTTTAATCTGATTAAATATTATTTAGTTTCTGGTGGAAGTAAGAATATGTCGCCTACAGGTTTGCATGTATACACACACACTAACTAACTAACAAACGAAAAAATGTTGTACGAGCGAAGATGAGTGTCCCGCAAGTTTTTGCGTCCATCCTAGTGCGTGACTTAAAGCTGATGACGGTTTTTTGAGCTTGTTAGTAATTCTGTGTCATGTTTGACAATGATCATTAACCTTCGTGATTATAGTGAGTGTGTTGGGTGGGTGGAGATACGGTGATAATAATTTGGTGAAATAGCTTGCTCCAGCTACTCTGTCAACATGTAAATTAGACGTACGTGGATCATTTCCTGCTGGTTTGCTCTCTACGTAACAGGAAGTGCGCAACAACTGTGTCAAATGTAAACCCGTCGGCCCAGAGCATGTTATTATCATCATCCGGCTTTTGCCTCGTGGACTTAGTTTCCCTGCCTCAAAGCCTGATTCTCTAAGACAAATGTTGATATTTTCATCTCCCGAGATACATTTTCTGATCAGGATTCCGGACCAATGGAAGTATTACTGGATTTATTCCTATGCTACGTGGCGTGTCCAATGCATTTATGTTACTGTAACAGACTTGACAATCCAAGGCGAGATGTTCACATTAAGAAACCTCTCGTCTTGTAGCATAATTCAGTATTAGTCCCTAACTTATTCCACTAATTGTCCATTAATGAACCTAAAGGTTCAAAGAGCCCGCCACTGGTCACTATACTGAGTTACACGTGTCCAATTCACACAGGGGCTGTCAGATCTTTCAGATTGAGGACCACGGTCATTCTTTATCTACTCGCAGGCCACATCTTTATATAGGACGATAATTTATTACAAATTCTACTAAATTAGACCTACTACTGCAAAAAAGTTCACATTCTTTAACAAAATTAGTTGTTTGCTTCAGAACTCTTTCAATATGAAATTAAATTTCTGCTATTGCGATTCGAATTCATTCCCGCAAATGTTTATTACTAAAACGTATCGAAGTTACTTATTTTTCGAATTTACTGAGCTGAACAGATGTTCATATTTACTGGTCAAATACAGTCATTAATATGACGTATTTTCTGACACAGTATTGCAGAAAGTGTTTATTATTATTTATTATTATTATTATTATTTATTTGACTGCAAATGGGTTTTTACCCGGTGGCAGTGGTCCTACAATAAGACACAAAACATAAGACAACAAAAACAATAAGAAACAACAGAACAATGAGACAGAACAAAACAATAAGACACAAAAAACATAAGACAACAAAAACAATAAGATACAACAGAACAATGAGACAGAACAAAACAATAAGACACAAAAAACATAAGACAACAAAAACAATAAGAAACAACAGAACAATGAGACAGAACAAAACAATAAGACACAAAAAACATAAGACAACAAAAACAATAAGAAACAACAAAACAATGAGACACAACAAAACACATGGACGGACCGAGTGTGGATGGGTCGCAACATTGATTTAGGGTCTATTCTAACATTAACTTTAAATACATTCTTAGATCTTACAAGCGGTGTGTGCCTAAATTATGTTCAATATGATTACTTTATAGCAAAATAATATAGAAATTCTCATAATTCTTCGAGAAATTCAGCTAAGTAAAGAATCCTGCTTTTCTGGCAGCTGAACCCGAAGGGCTAATACCTTTGTCTACAAAGCCTGTTGTAGGACATAACACTGACCCAATTTCATTCAACTTCTATCCTTATCAGCAATCTGATGTCATGCTTCTACTTAATCATGGTCTTCCAAGCTACCATTTTGCAAGTGTTTCCCATCATTATTCCACACGCATTTCACACCTCTCCCAAGCTGGCTACATGTCAGTCATAGATCAGTAGGCCTAGATGTTAGTCTCCTAGGAACAGTAACGCTGTGTAGTCTGGTAGAAGTTTACCGACGTTTCAGAGGTCCTGCTTCTTCCATCATTAGGGCGATAAGTAACTTGTAAGTTGATAAACTGCTACCAGACTACACGGTACAACATCCCAGACGACAGTCATCTCAACTCTGATGGACTCACCACCGCGAAGACCTAAAATGCTATAGGAAAATTGTAAAATTATCCCTTAATCTGGATTATACGTGGTTCATATATTCTGTATCTCTGTTAATTTATGTAGAATATATATACTGCTGACAGCTATGAACTCTGTCAAGTGCAATGAACAGATGAGTACTTGATTCCGTCTTGCATTTTGTAAAATATTTCTGATTATACACATGATTGTATACCATTTTACTGTAACATTGCTCGTGAACTACAAAATAAAAACTAAATGCTTTTGAGTAGGTTATATCGTCAAGTTTTGTGACCTGTATTTCATAAGTGTTCAATGTGGTACCGTGAGTGGCCCGGCAGATATCGTATATTTATCCAGTTTTAGTTCACGCATCGTTAAACAAATCGAGGTTAAGTGTAGCCACTGCGTATATCCTCCCAGCAAGTTTTAACCAAGT